CAGATCTTTTGTTAGTAAGATTTATCTCAATTATTATCTCCTTAAATAAGGACTTTCTTTTTATTTTTAATTAATTTATTTATTTTAGAGAGAGAGAGAGAGCACACCCATGAGAGGGCAGAGGAGCAGAGGGAGAGAGAGAGAGAGAATCCCCAAGCAGACTCCTGGCTGAGCATGGAGCCCAATGCTGGGCTCAGTCCTAGAACCCTGAGATCATGACCTGAGCCAAAGTCAAGAGTCAGACACTCAACTGACTGAGCCACCCAGGCACCCCAAGAAAGACTTTCTTCTGTCCATCAACCCAGTGGACTGAGTGCCCAGGCACTGGGGATTTAGCAGAGGACAACACAGACACTCTCTGCCCCTGTGGCATCTAGAGGGAGACAAACAATAGCAAAGAGTGATGTAGAGTAACAGTAATATGTTAGCTGCTGAAGAGGGCTATGGCAAAAATTAGGACAGGGAAAGGGAATAGGGACAAACAAGGTAGGAAGGAAAACCACAATTTTAAATCACATGGTGAGGGAAGGGTGCATGGAGAAGGTACTATTCAGGAAAATGGCACATGGGTATCTGGGGAAGAGCCTGGGACATGCAAATCAAAGGCTGCCAGGCAGGAGCATGCAAGGTGTGTTGTAGGAAAATGAGACCAATGTGACTGGAGGAGAGAGAGCAGTGCAGAGTGGGAGGAGATATGGGGTGCAGACTGTGTGGTCACTGTGAGAACTGTGTCTTTCACTCTGAGGGAAATGGGAAGCCATCGGAGGGCTCTGAATAGAAAAGTGACCAGATCTGAGTTGCATTTCAACAGGAGCACACTGGCTACTGAGTTGGGAAGAGCCTACTGGGGGGTCAAAGTCAGAGGCAGGGAGAGAAGTAAGAGGGTAGTATGGTGGTCCAGGGGGAGATGATGGACCAGGGTAATAGTAGTGGATGTAGTGAGAAATAGTCAGATTCAAGGTACATTTTGAAGGCATATCCAACAAGATTTGTTGACAATTTGATGTGGATTTTGAGAGAAAGACAAAAGTTAAGAACAGCCTTTAGGTTTGGGTCCTGAACAACAAGAAGGATGAAGTTAACATAATTGGATTGGAGAAAATTGGATGCAGTAGACATCAAATGGAGGCTGAGTAAGCAGGTGGAGTTTAGATGAAGAGTTTGGGCTGGAGAAGTAAAATGTAAGTTGACAGCACAGAGATGGCATTTAAAGCCACACAGTAGATGAGACAGCAAAGCAAATGAGTCTAGAAACAGGTCTTTGGCTAGATGTGAAAAGTTAGGGGAGGTGAGGGAGATCCAGCAAAGACCGAGGAGGAGTGGCCAGTGGAATTGGCAGTATACCTGGAGAGTCTAGTGTCCCGGCCCCCAGAGAAGAAACCTCCAAAGAAGAAGTCAAGAATTATAACATGTTAATGTGTCTTTTGATCACAGGTGGAATATTAATTCCAGTATTTGTCCTTAGAGTCGATCCATTTTAATACGTAAAACTACAAACAAAATATATATGGTAACATTTCTAAAAATACATTTTAGAAAGAAGTTACAGTTCATAAGAAGAGATTGAGTGCAGGACTACTATGCTTAACTACTCCCAGCTCTCAGAATACACATACATGCAGATCCTTGTGATATATGGGTGAAGAATGCAAATGCATCCTCACCGTCTTTAGAAGGTCATCATTAACACCCTTTTCTCTCCACAAGTTAGTGAGAGTCAGAGCTGCAGGTGGTGGCAGCTTGACCTTGACCTGAGCAACAGTCCAATCAGCACACAG